CCATTGTGCCCATGTTTTCCATCAGACGCCTATGATGCCCATGTCCAAACATGTTTCACACACGAGGTAAGGGCTGCAATTTTCCACCTCATCATTAATTTGTTAGTGATGGTCTAAGTTCGTTTACATTCAGAAAAGCATCTGATTTTATCTTTCAAAACATTTGTTCTACACCCCAAAAGAGGCACTCGGGCAAGTTGCCCTTATTTTGGGGGAACTGTGTAGATGATACTAGGTAGAGAACACTAAATAGAGGATACTAGGCAGAGGACACAGTAGAGAACACAAGGTAACTAGGCAAAGGACACAGTAGAGAACACAAGGTAGATGACACTAGGCAAAGGAAACGATAGAGGACTCTAGGTAGCAGACACAGTAGAGGAGGCTATAGATAGAGAACATGACTGTAAGTACACTGGATAGAGGACAAAGTTGAGGGCACTGTAGAGTACATCAGGAAGATAACACCTGGTACTTTCTATTATATGACACCTGGTAGAGTGCATGAGGTAGAGGACACAAGGTAGAAGTCACAAATTATGGGACACCAGGGGGGTATGACGTCATGCTCTATAAAACTACTGAGTTTACCGTCGGACTGCATAAGACGATTGCAAAGTCACCGAGGATGTCAGGCATCCACACGCCTTGTTTAAACGTAATGATAATTGATCCCATCAATTGAACCCACCACTCAAATATCCTATTGAACCCACCACTCAAATATCCTACTGAACCCACCACTCAAATATCCTACTGAACCCAACACTCAAATATCCTACTGAACCCAACACTCAAATATCCTACTGAACCCACCACTCAAATATCCTTCTGAACCAAACACTCAAATATCCTACTGAACCCACCACTCAAATATCCTACTGAACCCAACACTCAAATATCCTACTGAACCCAACACTCAAATATCCTACTGAACCCACCACTCAAATATCCTTCTGAACCAAACACTCAAATATCCTACTGAACCCACCACTCAAATATCCTACTGAACCCAACACTCAAATATCCTACTGAACCCAACACTCAAATATCCGACTGAACCCAACACTCAAATATCCTACTGAACCCACCACTCAAATATCCTACTGAACCCACCACTCAAATATCCTTCTGAACCAAACACTCAAATATCCTACTGAACCCACCACTCAAATATCCTACTGAACCCAACACTCAAATATCCTACTGAACCCAACACTCAAATATCCGACTGAACCCAACACTCAAATATCCTACTGAACCCACCACTCAAATATCCTACTGAACCCACCACTCAAATATCCTTCTGAACCAAACACTCAAATATCCTACTGAACCCACCACTCAAATATCCTACTGAACCCAACACTCAAATATCCTACTGAACCCAACACTCAAATATCCTACTGAACCCAACACTCAAATATCCGACTGAACCCAACACTCAAATATCCCAATCAGCGACAAACGCTATCTCTTGATGCACATCAAGTTCAATGTTCAGCGCACATCTGCCACCAAGCAATCTTGAATGGTCCCCCCCAAAAAAAAAAAATTAAAAAATAAATATATATATATATTTTTTAAATGACGAATGTGTCCAACTGTTATCTACCACGGCAACAAATAATAAATCAACAACGTCGAAAATCTAATCACCATCCCAAGGTGTACACTCACTGAAGTTCGGAAAATATCAGATTCTGACATCATGAAATCGGTGAGTTGGTTATTTTTTACACAGAAGAGACAACGAATAGTCTTTTAAAGGTAATTAATGGTGCAAAGGTATGCATGATTTTGTAAAAAATAGATTGTCTACCATCAAAAACTTGAACATATATAAATATATATATATATATATATATATAATGCTTTTGTAAAGTGAGACTCGTAACAAAAGTAAGATACCATCTTTTACATTAACTCTATGATAGTTACAGTCTCAAGGATAACACATTTTTAAAAAAAAATTTATTAAACGATCTTGCTATTAAATATACAGTTTTTTTGAAAGGCATTCCACTGAGTTCCGTCAGTTGAACCATTTGCCCTGCTCCTATACCATCGCTAATTTGCATGCCTCCCGTGCAACCGTCTCAGCATTTCGCTTCTTGTATTCCCAGAAATCTGAAAATGGCTGCCTCCAAGCTAAAGCTTCATTATTTTGACGTCAGGGGTCGCGCCGAAGTCGACCGTCTGATTCTGGCGGCCGCCGGAAAAGACTTCGACGAGGTCAGGTTCTCACTGGAGGACTGGCCCAGCCACAAACCCAAGTCCCCTTACGGCCAGGCCCCGTGGATGGAAGTCGACGGGGTCCCGTTCGCGCAAAGTCTGGCCATCCACTCATTCCTGGCCCGTGAGCTCGGCTTCCACGGCCGGACCAGTCTGGAGATGTTCAAGATTGACGAGATCGTCCATCTGCTTGACGAGCTGTTCACGCTTGCTGCTAGTAACTACCACATCGACGACGAAGAGGAGAAGGCAGAAGACGCAAGGAAGATAAAAGAACAGGAGGCGCCGAAATTTTTGGGTTTTTTCGAAGAAATTTTACAGAAAAACGAGACGGGTTATTTGGTTGGGGATCGGCTGACCCTGGCAGACATTGCTCTGTTTGACGCCTGCACCGGCTTCTTGTCCGATTACATGGAGCTTACACATGATTACCCGATGGTCCAGCACAACGTGGAACTGGTCAAGGGGAATGACAAAATCGCGGAATACCTTGTGTCAAGAAATTAATAGTTCAAAGATAAAGGTCTATAGCGGAATACCTTGTGTCAAGAAAGTAATAGTTCAAAGATAAAGGCCTATAGCGGAATACCTTGTGTCAAGAAAGTAATTGTTCAAAGATAAAGGCCTATAGTTTGATATTGGAATTTTTGGAAATTGTTATTTTCTTTTTCAAAACTGAAAGCGTTTTTGAATACCCTCTGAAAGACGAATAGTGAAGCCATGATATAAATTATTTTTTGTGTGTTTTACTCACATTTTAAATATATAATTACATGCTTGTTTTTTTTTAATTAAAAAAAATAGGATTAACAAAATAATTATTGGTCGAATCTTGACAACAAGAATCTTAATTTTCTGACATTAATAACATTTCGTTTTCAGTAAAATAATTTGCCCCAACTTAGGAATTGTGCCACGCGATAAACAACTTCCACACAGCAATATACAAGAATTTCTACAGGATGTACAACCGCCACGCCATATACAACCTCGATACAAGAAACAACCTCCACACAACGATAAATAAAATCCACACAGTATACAACTCCACATGATATACAACCTCCAGACATTTTGCAGCCTCCACACAGTAAACAACCTCCACAAATAATACAACCTCCACACAGTATACAACCTCCACACAGTAAACAACATACACACATAATACAACCTCCACACAGTATAAAATCGCCACACAGTAAACAGCCTACACACATAATACAAGCTCCACACAGTATACAATCTCCACAGCAACAAAAATTGATCTACCAGTACAAAGTATTTCTTTGTTGTTGTTGTTTTTTTTTTAAAATTTGTAAACATGTGTATCGGTCTCTTCAAGCCATTACATTTGTTTGTTACAATGACCATGCGTCGCATCTCGGTTGTAGTGAACGTGATGATTATCATAAGTTTTGTCCAGTGCTGGATTAATCATGCCCGGTAGTTCTCACGTGTACGAGGCAATATTCAATACCTGTTGACATGAAAATATAACTTTGATCTTATGAAATTCTGTATAACTTTTTGTTTTAGGGGTGGGGTAAAAAAAAAGGGGGGGGGGCAACACAACCAAGGGCCCTTACCCTTTCAAATGTGCACTTTTTTCATGAAATATTTTGTATTAAATAAATATTTCGATCAAAGACTAAAAAATGTTGTTGTTTTTCTGTTGTGAAACATCTTCTGATACTTCTGTACACAATATTCTACCACGTGAGGATACCAGAAAGAATCTTAATAATAATGATAATACACCAGCTGGTGTGTCCCGGGTAGGGTTGCCGTATCTAGCTGGGACCTCGTCGGGACACTCTGAGATGGGGGTGTAGAAATGAAGTTTGGTTGTTGTTTTTTTTTGTTTTGTTTGGTTTTTTAAAATTCTAGCTCAACACATGCTCCACCATGACCTGGGGCATCTCTTATTTTAGAAACAGCAGGTGAAGTCTGGATTAGATCAGGAAAGGTAAAAAAGTAGTGCTGAATAACACACCTTCTCTTAAAATATTGGAACATTTTCCGGACAGATCTGATGACCAGCAGAGGGCCTGACAGGGATTCGTCCATCTGGTCGTAGATCACTTTCAATGGAAACTAAAGTGAAAGCTGAATTAAACCGATTGACCACAAGAGGTATCGTCGAAACTGTTGACAACCAAACTGAATGTGATAGTCGACAATTAAATAGACGTTTAGATGAGATGTCTTCTTCAGACAACAATACAATAAAGTAATACAAAACAATACAATTTAAAAAAAAACAAAAAACAAAAAAAACAGGTATTTAAATAAAAGATGAAACAATATTTTTGAAAATGTCAATAATGTCAACTTAGGGCAAAGTTCAGGAAAGTACACGTTATGTGTCACGTTTCTCGACTTCCGTTTATATGTAGTGTTGTGTCTATCATCGTCTATGTTGTGACATGCGGTTGTTTCCCAGACAGAATGATATGCAATAATATCATTGTATTGTATTCTCGGTGTTTCTTTCTCTTTATTAGCATTGAGTAAAAGCCCGTGTCAGTATGGTACCCAGAAGCCCAGGTCTCTTGTACCCAGAAGCCCAGGTCTCTTGTACCAAGAAGCCAGGCAGTTGTGTTTGTGATGAAAAGATCTAGGAAGGCCGTGTCAGTATTGTAACCAGAAGCCCAGGTCTCTTGTACCAAGAAGCCAGGCAGTTGTGTTTGTGATGAAAAGATCTAGGCCAGAAGCTTTGTAGTTGTTGTGTTAGCCTTCTTATTTATTTTGTCATTATGCAACCCACAACCTACC